GGGGGGGGGGGGGCTTGTTAAGAAACATTGACTCCACCAATCCTGTTTGTCTAAGCGCCGGAGAGAGGGAGCTGCAGTTTGGCTCTGTGAGTTTAGTTTCAGGTCACTGCTCAACACCATGCACACCTCGGTCCAAAACACACACCTGAACTCTGTCTTTGTCTCCCAATTACATATCAATTTCAAGACCAATTGAGCCACTCAGCAGAAACTAAAGTAATACGTCAATATATAAAACTGCAACCTCTGTTTCCTTCTTCGGAAGTCGGTTTTTTCTCCTCGTAACGAGGCAGCTTAACATGGCAACAGAAATGTCTCCTTCAAGACGACAAGGAGGAGCAATTTATAAATTCAAGACCGGTGATTTTCCCCAAGTGGTCTTGATATGATCAGAAGTGCTCCTTTAATCAGAACTACTCTTACCCGGTCTATCTTATCCCTCCTGCTTCTATGATTGTGCTTGCTAAAGATGTTCAAAGTGGTTTGCATTACTTTTTTGCTTTAAATGTATTACACAACACTTGAAATGAAGTGCATGACATCATTGTGCATGCAAACCTTACACAAATTAGTTTGATGAACACGTCAACGTTAATTTCCCACCATATTAAGGATTGCATTATTTACTGGGACGACAAATAGCACTGACTCGTCTAACAGCTGATTATTAGCTTTTAGCAATGATAATAGCCCACACTGTTGGGTACAAACAGAATAAAGTAATTCCATATTAGTTATGCTATAGGCTATTCATCTCCAAATCAAGAAGGTTAATTGTGTTATTTCAGCTGCCAACTACTTTTAGCAGCAATCTCAACTTGATAAATCCACCTATTAATAAAAAGTCAACAGACAACATGATTTCAGGGTTAAACAATATTGTGAGTGAATATAAAAAGCAGATCAAATAAAAGTGGGCTAAGAATAGCTGCTTTATGTTGTGGGAATGACGGAGTACTAATAGCTTCCAACAGCAAAGATACTTTCCCCAGGTCGCATTTAGCCTCAATTTAAAACTGGTTCACTGTCTTCCAGAAAGTAGGCTAAGCCCAAATACAGCAAGAGATAAAGTGGGAGAAATTGATTATTTATTTTCAAGGGGAAAGACAGAGTGGTGCTATTCAGAAACAAAAATGGGATTATTTTCTAGTGGCCTTCAGCAGTTTCTAATGAGGGGAAGCAGCCCCTACTAGCTTGCATTTTGTTTACATGTAGGTATTGAGAGCGTATTTTTATTTTAAGTTGAGCTCCTACTTTAAATATTAATTATGCATGGTGCTCAACACTTTATAGCACGTCCACTTGACTTCAAAGTAAAGCTCAGGTAATGGCCGACCCCTGCAGACAAAGCGCTTCATTTACTGCCAACTAAGCATCGCTGAAGTCCAAAAAAAACAGAGGTATAGATTTTAAAAAACATCAGTAGCAAGTTTATCAAAGATGTATAACAGGGTCAATGAGATTAAAGGTACTGTGACACTATGGGGGAGAGCAAAGGGCATTATGGTTAAACTCAAGATTCTAGTGGAGCATTGTGTTGAGATGAATTCTTTTGAGAACACCTTATTTCATTCTCTCAAATGAACCATTTCTCGGCGTGTAAACAGAGCCAGCACAGGCAGTAAATGATGAGATTTGTAGCGTTTGCTTTTGATATGAGTGATAATATTTAGAGAGAGGACCGCTGAACTAGGTGTGCCTGTCTGCGACTGGGAGGTGTTTGATGAGAGATTTGAGATTTAATTGCATTCTTCAGTTTGCATGCAGATAGAATATTGTCTATAAAGAAGCAAGGAGAGGTAAAAACTGAAAAAAGTTTTTTCTTTTACAGTCGAGAGGTAACTCAAGCAAAGATAAGCTCCTTGGACGGGCATTGTTTTCAGGGTTTTCTAGTTTAAATGTTCTACAGAAAATATGATTTTCAATAAAAAAAAATTGTTTTATAATTGCAGTGAAGAACAGGCTTATTGTTCATATATATATATTATTGCCAGAGCAGTAAGAGATTTATTTATAAAAACTACATGGATAACAACAATGGATGTGGTAGGACTGGGTAGTTATATTTACTCAGTTGAACTTACTGTTATTTTGGATATTTGTAACTATAATCAATATAAACATTACATATATGTTCTTCCCGTTTAATACATTTCATATACGATGTTAAATAATTTTTGACATGTGTCTTTGTCCCTTGAATTACAATTATTGAGCACTTTTGTTACATCAATATATTTCATTATTCTCTGGGATGGTGAGAAATATCATTTTGATCCCCCTGTCTGTGTAACACAAATAGAGGAATTGACAATAAAGTTAAAACTGAATGAAAAATAATTTGAGAATAGTTGGAGTGGACACTATAGAAGAACATTTATTCAAAATATATATTTCAAGTTGGTCTCATCTTAAGTAAGAATAAACGTTGGCATTGGCGTTTTGAGAACACCTTCAGACAATAGTGTTTGTTTGATTTCCTGATAACTGTTTCACAGCCTATCTGACAAATAAAACTTCTGATCCATTCAGACTTCCCATCTGTATGAATCGGCCCTGTCTTTTTTTACCTGTCTTGTTACTACGACACCAACATGTAATGACTGCTGTTGTGCAGCTCAGCATTCTCAGGATTCCACTTTTATCATATGATGAAATGTGACATATGCCTTAACCTCTACCTTTTGTGTAGAAACAGTTCTGTGTGCTGACAGTGCGTATTCACACTTAAACGCTGAATCTATTAGTCAAACACAGTGCAATTTAATGAACACCCAGCTGTGTCAAAAACAGCTATAATTAACAAATTATTCATTTCACACATTTTCATCTGCACCTGACACATTCTTTTTACATTTCTCAGACTAACAAAGGCCAACAAAGACTAACAAAGGCAAGTAGTACCGTAATCATATTATTTCCAACATGTTAGTGTCAAGCTGCATGTGCTGCCTCTATAAACTACTGTATGACTAGACCTATTCACATCCTGATTGGATCAGGAAATACTTCATGGTTTGTGACTGAAAAAATACGTCATAGGAAGAAGACAACATTTTTCCCTAATTCTTCATGGCAATATTACACTTGCTTCATCCATAGGAGGAAGAAGTAGAGGTCACGAGTAGAATTTAATTCCACAAAACAGGAAACCTGACAATGTTGAGTCGCCTTATTTAGGACGCCTTTGTTAGTTAGGACAAAGATTAATGTTGAGCTACAGGAGGAAGGCAAATAGATGTCATCACCTTCTGGGAAAGTTAAATCATTCTGAAGTAAATTGATCACAGTGATGCAAAGGTAGGTCATGGTTGATGAAATGCTAATTAGCAGCAATTATGACACTATGTTATGTGAATGTATTAACCGGCACAGTTCCAGAGGGGCCAAATCATCTGTGCTCTTTCCATTAGTACTTTATGAAGTATAAACAGTGTTTGTCAATGGGTATTTTGTAAATTAAAGTTGTTTCTTTCATTATCAAAGAGTTTGAATCCTTCCTCCTAAGGTGTGTACTTTCTTATGGCTACCTCCTGTAGAAAAATGGGTGACATTTGAGGACAAATGACTTCACAGGGCATGCATTGTAAAATGGTCTGGGGAAATGTAAATGGTAGATAATAATAAATGAGCTGGAACTGAAAATGACCTGCATTCTCCTTTGAAAAATGTTAGTGTTGGATGGCATTGTGCTGGTGTGGATTGGCGAGGGGTGTGATGGCTACTCAAACAGATCACAGGCAGCATGTCAAGCAGTCAATATTGACTCAGCTGTTGTTTGTTGGTGTGCGACATGGCTGGATAACTGAGTTACGGAGCATCATGCATCCTGCCATGCCATTGCTCTGTTCCTATCGGAGCCATAGAGGACACCTTACATTGTTACACAGCTGCAGCAAGTGTGAGTTGCAGGTTTAGTAAAGGGCTTAGTAAATTGGGTTAGCTCATGTTATGGGTCTGTATTTGTCAGGGCAGCCGGGCAGTCCTGCGCATATGCAGCACATTCTTCCAGCCAGAGCTCAGGAATCAAACAGAGAGAGAAGGAATCAGAGGGACAGTAAAGAGAGACAGAGCTGAGGAGGAGAATAGCCAGGAGCTGCGTGAGGAGGGTTGTGGTTTTACTTACATTTGCAGCCATCGTCCCACAAATAGCCAGGTAGACACTGCTGACACTTAGGCCCTGTAGTGCCCTCCTTACATATACAAAATCCTGTGCCATTACAGCGATCATTGACTGAGCCAAAGGGATTACAATTACACTCTGGAAAAACAAGACACACACAAACAAAGGCTGGAAACAGGGTGGCTTTGACTTCCTGCTACACGTCTAGGATTTTCACAGCGTGGACCACCGTCCTTAAGTTCAATAATAAGGTCATTATTACAACATAGAGTCTGATTATTACAGAATAAAATCTGACTCATACAGAATAAAATGCTACCATTTCAACTGTTATGAAGACGGAATGAGAAAAGAGTGAATGATGCTAGGTTCATGAAAACTTTCTATTCATTACAGCATATTTGTCATTTAATAAAAATAACGTTACTGTTACAGTATATAGCTATACAACGTGCAATGAGCCAAATATGCAAAGCATTATCAGTAGCTTTGATATAAGATGAACAAGGTGAGCTAATCTGCACATGCTTTTCCAAAATAGTATTCATTCATACAGGTACAGAGGAGATAGATATTAGGAGAAGATGAAAAGAGGAGACAGGAACATGTGATGAATAGTTACCAGGTGGATATTGGCAACACAGACAGACAAAGAGTGAATGTTCATGTTTCAGAGGAATGAGAGTAAAGCACATTGAAATGGGCATTGTTGTAATATGTTCTAACTATTCCTTATTAACAAATAAATGTAACATTGTCTAAGAATTTGGCATTATCTTCAAATGCCTATTTGTTGTTTACATAAGAGAATGGTAATCAGCCACAATTAGACACAAAAAACCCACCTCTCATGTCTCTGCTGCCCTACGCTCAACTGACATGGTGCTTTCAACAGCGACTATGCATTCAAAGTGACACCTTCTCTGACAGTCCTGGCCGTCACATGGCACCTTCTGTGGCCCGCTGGCTGCACGTGGCTGCACCCGAGTGACTTCCGAGGGTCAGGCGAGAGGAGAGAGGTGACGGCAAGTGACAAACAGGGGGGTCAGTGGGAGGGAGGCAGGGTGAGGTCAAGTTTGCAAAAAGTAACGCCTTGGTGACTCTTAACGCCTTGTGACGGGATTCAGCTGCTACTCTTGAGGCCATTTCATGTAGGCCTATATGACATATGCACTTGTGTGGCACCTCTGACTGGCGGTGTGGCTTCCTCGCGACATTTCTCTAAGAAGTCTTGTTACTTGTCAGACTCCCCCCTCAGGACTCACAAGTGCACCTGGCACTGGGTACCAAGAACTCACACTCTGCGCGCTATCTAAAGAATCCAATAGGGAACCAAAGTAGGCCTACTGCCTTAGGAACTATGTGAAATGTAATTTTCCACACATTTTTACATGTACAAAAAACCGATGATGCAGTGCGTGAATTCCTGTGTAAAGGTAATGGACAAAATAACAGAAACACCAGATGAAAATGGCCTTTTAATTCTAAAATCTTTAAGATGACAATGTCTTCACAGACAAGTCATCTTAAATTGAATAGTAGTAATCTGTAATTCTATATTTAAGGTGTTAGACAAGCATTAGGTTACAAGCTTATAGTATAATGACATGTCCCCATTTCATGAATGATCTACTTATACATTTGAGGGAATATTAGCATAACGATAGATAACAATAGGAAACAGCTAGCTATGCTAACATGCGGCTAGCTCCATGTTACTCGTATAGACATTAGACTGTCTGAGGTGTTTCCATTAGGTTGTGCATTAAGATTTATTCTTTTATATGTACCTGCAAATCTGATTATGCTAGCTATTAATGCTTTGCTATTTTTGGTCGCTAAGTACAGACAATGAGCTATTAAATAAATATGATATAATTCAAATAATAAATACAGCTAGCTAGCTAACCCTGGTACTGTAGCACTCACCAATCATTCTACAGTTATTAAAACCGTGTGTGTCTGACTAAAGCTGAATTATAAGTCCTGCAAATTGTGTGAGAGTAGAAGAAGCAATACAGGAATATGTGAAGACCACGGAAAAACATGGAGGCAGGAGGGTGTAGTCAGTGATGATGAAGCGGTGGGGGATGAAAGATGACACTTTCTCTGGTAACAGGTGAGGCGAGAACAGTTTGTGTGAAAGCAGGGTGGCGATGAAAGGGGCCGGTGGGCGACTAACCTATGCACACATTTTCATCGTCCAGTTCTGCTGAGGTATTGCGGTAGTAGCCCAGCTTGCACAGCTGGCAGTGCTGGCCCCTAGTGTTGTGCTTACAGCTCACGCAAATGACGGTGTTTAGCAGCTCGATGTAGCTGCATCGGTTGGAGTGGCCGAAGCATTCACAGTCTTGCAAAGAGAGTGTGAGGGGAAGAGAAGGGAGAAAGAGAGAAAAAGGAAGAGAGAGACGCGGTAGGGAGTGTTGGCATTGTTGATCTTGCTGCGAGTGCTACGGCGGCTGTGTTAGCACGAATTTAGGCACCATGGCATGCAAGGTTAAAAATGGAGACTTGGGCGTGAGGAAAGAGATGTTGGGAAAATGATGAAAGGGATGGTAACTAATGATTAGTCTGACATGGACACAGCCAGAGTAAGAAGACATCACACAAAATAAGCACGGCGTTAGTTGGACTCCAAGAGGTCACATCACTTCAAGCACACCACGACACAAGGCAAGAGAGGCTGCAAAATGATGACACACAGACACGGTCACATTGGAAACAACAACGGAAGCGTAAGGCAGGTCAGAACATGAATGAAATGGATCTTTCAACTCAGGGAATGGTATTGGGGAGTTTTAGAATAATTCTCTAATTGATCTCTTGACTGTCATGGACAATATGGTTTGAGGTAACAGGATGAAACGTTCAAAGATACTTCATTTCACACCCCTCTGTAATGAAATGAATGACGTTGATTTTTTAAAAACTCTTAATTTATCCCCCATTTTTTTTTTTTAAACGGTTAGATAGTTGTATTTAAAGGCTTATTACAACCGAAAGCAGTCAATAAGGAAAGTGAGCATATGCTGAGTTGCACTGGCAGAGAGTGTCTGCTATGCAGGGTTATGTCATGCTGAATTAGATGTATGGAGTTGTCGCTGGACTGTAAAACCTCATGCTGCATTCTATGATAGTTCCTGGCAGCCCACCCTGAGGGGTGCAGCAGCCCCAGCTCGCCACTCTCCGATTAAACATCATTCTCCCACACTGAGTGACCACTGACACCACGTGTCACAGCAGAGACAGATGTGACCTTAAGCCTCACTGGCAGACAGAATGCCTGCGGATCCAGAACAGGGTGGTGGCGGATGGGGCTTTCGTCCAAAGGATTGTGGTTATTAAGGATCTGTATTGAGGTCAGGTCTCTCTGTCCGGATGCTAACAACCTGAATAGGCTTGAAAATGAAGTCTAGCCCACTCTACATTTCACCTAAAGCAGAAACTCTTGTCCAATTGTGAGCTTAAATCTTCTACATTAGACGCCTCACTCTCGCAGACATACTCTCAGAAGACAAATAATCTCTCCTTTCCAGAAATAGGCTAAGGTCATAAATCATGCACGAATGAGGAATAAAAAGTCTTGATTCTTGGAAACACATTCACCAAAAATAGTTCTAGTCTCCAGCACCCACTTTGTTTGAACTGAAAGAGATATTATTCCAAGGGACTTTTATAGTGCTTAGAAACGATTCCATAGATGAATGAACCCTCAATGGGCCCTGAGCAGGGAAGACCATCGGTCCAGAACTGAGCTCCAGATATGGATACACAGGCTTCTAGCATTGGGTTAGTGCTACAGGGGTTAGGGGGCTTACAGTAAAACAGAAACATCAGTTAAACAGTGAGGGGCTCAGGGGGTCATCTGAGGGGCAACGTATGAATTCCAGCTCCTACCTCGCTTGCTGTTTGCAACGTGGACAGAAGGGGCAGTGGATAATGCAACCTGAGGAGCTACTAGACAAATTAAAAGAAGAAACAAAAAAAATCATGATATTGCATCAAACAAAACATGTAATGTCAGAGAATTACTGAGCATAATGCTTAATAAAACTGTAACTGTAAAAAGATAAATAAACAGGCGCAATAATGATGAATGATGGCATTGGGAAATAAGGAGTGACATTGCCAAGTGAAGTTGGCTGCATGTAGCAGCATCTGTTACAAATGCTTTAGATGCAGAAGAATTCAAAAATTATGGTCCCTCTTTTATGCTTCATTTCATTAACAAGTGCTTTGTATAATTCAGAAGCCTCTATGTGTGTTTCCCCGTACAGAAACGGTCCACTGACAAACTACTCTCCACCTCGATGGAGGCCATCCAAGAATTTTCGCCCTATAAATTTGTGCACAGGAGCGTAGGCAAGGAAACTGGCTAGCAGTGAACACATCAATCCCTCAAAATTCTTTACGGTCATAAAACAAACAGTGGGAAAATAATGAATACGCCCAGCCTCTGCTATTGTATTAGGTGACATAAGCCCCTAACATACAGTGAGTGTGCTTGGCTGCAGTCATGGAAACACAGTGCTCAGTGGTCGTGTGCTTGTTGTTTGCGAGGTGACTGCACATCACATCTGCACGATGGATTAGGCTGAGATGAGCCTAACATCAATCTGTATAAAAAACACAGCGGAACCTCTCCTGCTTTTCCCCCCCTGTTACGCTAAGATGGGAATCTCTGGAAGCTCTGCACCTAATTAAAATCGAGGGTGTATGTATAAACATACAGTGCACACATTGAGAGGATAATGTACGGCCCTGCAGCATGTCGAGTGCTCCACTGAAGGAGCCTGAACCTTAATCCGGAGAAAGAATAGCAAGCGGAGGATGTTCTTTTTAGTTTGTCATAAAAATAGCTAAGATTGGAAAAGGGAAAGATACTCGTGCTCATATACAAATACTAATAGCTACAAAAGAGTGCTTTTAGCAAAAACCCAGATATAAATGAATCTGTGAAAAAAAAAATTGTTGTTGCGTATTCTTAAATGCCTACCTTCTTTTCGGTTAGCGACACCTAGGGATGACACATTCGGCCGAACTGCGTGCAATTGAGAGAAACCAGGAGTTATTCATGTGCACTTATGTGATGCAATTTACATATAGTCTAAAGGGGGGTGGGGGACTAGGTGGTGGTGGTGTACACACAGAACTGGAGACATGGACATGTCTTGCATGACTTGAATCTGTAAATCAGGAAACAGCAAAAACAGTTGGGCAGGGCTGACATGGACGAGCAAAGGGAATGCATCCAAAGACCCATTGAGGACATTGGAGAGACGTTGTATGTAATTTGTGTGACTTCCATTGGCTTGCTGTCTGTTTGTGTGTTTATGGCAAATGGCAATGATGAGTAAAAAACTGAAGAAAAAAATCTTTCATTTTGTATTTAAGTCATGATTTATGCAAGCGAATCTAAACTATGTATAGCAAATCAAGAAGTTAGGGGGCATTTTGTTTAATTCATCACATCGACTATATAATCAATATCTAATTACAGTGTATTTCTGGTGGAGGAATAACAATGAATAAATAATGGCAGGTGTTTGGGACTTGGAATGAGGGACTGCTGTGGGTAGCATAACCGAATAATTACATACACGTCCGTATTTCCGTGTCAGGGAAATACATTGGTTGGAAATGGAGAGGACTCAAGCAAAGGGAGGAATACGGATACGTTTCCTGATTGTGCCCCTTATCTCTTCACTTGATCTTTCTGTCCTTTTGCTATTGACTCATGAATCATGCAATCTTGGGTAATTAACATCCAGTGGCGTCTTGGCATGGAGCCTATTGGCCTAACTAAGGGTGAATCTGATACGAGACTTCTGTTCAGGCCGGATCATTAAAAAAATGACTTTCTCCCATGGAATTATTGATTCAAAGATTTTTTTATTCCACTGCATTGGAATTAAATAACATATTAGGTTTGAGCTTGGCATGTCTGCACACTGTGACAATCACTTTTACAACATAAATCATTGATTTTTAAAACTGCACGAACGAAAGACTATCATGCAGTTCCTCCAGTTTCATCCTTTTATTCTATTTGTTTTATCTCCCTCAAAAACGTTTTACAATGGATCCTGCTGGGGTATTGTGGAATTAGTGATGACTGCCACACCTCCAGTGGGTTGAAGACACTTGAGACACTCGATGAGAGGCTCTTTGAAAGTGACAGATTTACAAAATAAAGTGCTGAAGAAAAAGGGCCCACCACGTCTCCACTCAAACTCAGGTCTTATATCTTGTAAATTGTCATGTCCCTTAATTTTTTGTTCTGAATTTAGTTCCTCTATTCCTGGTGAAGCGGTTTCCTAATGAATAAAAATGACTTGTTAAAAAAACACACATGAGCAAACTGCGTTGTCTGGATCTATAACCTCTAATTGGTACAGTAAGTTCATTTTTAATTATTCTGTGTTGGCAATTGATTGGATGTTATACACATCTGGGTTCCATTCATTATTTCGTTATGGGGAATATTCAGGTTAGGCAAGCTAAATGACTGGTGACGGATTTTAATCAATGCCATACCCATAATGAAATGCAATCTTGCGTCGACAGGATTGTTTTTTAAAATATTAATTTCACTTTAATGGTCCGCATTAGGAAATTCTGCCTGACTTAATAAACTTGAAATAGAATTGAGAAAAGTCAATAAGGGATTCAATTGGCTTCAAACTAAAGCATGAACAACGCTGTGCTTTCTCTTTTTCTCCACAATGGTTTAGCTTTCAGTCAATTTAACAACCTCATGGACCTCCTATTCTTTTTAAGTCCACTTTATTCTTCCTTTATTAAGAACGCAGAACTAAAATTGGTTTGTGTTGCATCTAAAACAGCCTCATCCTCTTCAGTGTGTTCAGTTTTCTTGTTCGTTGGGAGGCTGTAGTGACAAGACAGCCTTTCGTGTGAAGAACTCTAAATCCCTGAGGGGCAATCTGGATGAGAAGTGAAGACGTTTGTTTGTGTATTTTCTACATCAACCCCCTTCCCAAAAAACAAACACACACACACACACACACACACACACACACAACCATACACTTATCAGCATGCACACTCTCCCTGTAAAGGATTTGAGGACAGCCTATTTAGATGGGATAGAGAGGACTGACGTGATTATGTAAGCATGTATATACGAGGAGCATGCACACACATGCTAAACTCTCGTCAGGCAGTGCATTAGTTGGACACATTATTTCTAATGTGATGAGGTAGGAAGGCAAGCAGGGGGAGGTTTAGAGAGGGTAGTTTGGTGCTCTTGGTCACATGTCCATTTCTGACTCATGACACAGCATCAGGCTTTACAACCAGTGGTCACTTCCAATCTAAAGCCTGATTAAAAACCACCTGGGAACACTCTGTTTCTGCCTGAGTCTGACACAGCAAGGTTTGGGAAAATTGCCCAGTGATCATCTTAGCCGTTAAACGATGAAAACAAGCGTGTCCTTATCGTGTCCTGGCTTGGCTTGGTTACACGAGGGAATGAACTAGATATTGGGTCAAAGTAGAAACTCGCATTATAAAACAAGGAAAAAAAGAATGAATGTTTACTCAGAATGTCAAGCTATGGCTCTCATCTGGATGGGAAGTGGAGGGATAAGGCATTGCTGTTAATAGAGTATCGGTAATGTGCCCAAAAGGATTTTGACTTTATATTATTTCAACTTTTTTGCATATATATCAAAATATACTTTAAAACCAGTTGACTTTTCATACGAATAAAGGTAAATTGGTTTTCTTTCGATAAGATAATTGTCCTTTTACCTCATTCCAGTGTATTCTAAAGTACAATTTAGCCAGAGCCGACAATATTGCAGCTACAGTATACTGTAGATGACTTGTCTTAATAACCATTTGACCGGCAAGTTGATCATTGGGGCCAGTTTATTAAAAACAAGCATGTCTCTTTAACCCGAGCCAGACTATGAAGGTCCAGGATCAGACATGGAGGGGGCAATTTACTAATCAATGCGCTAGAAACAGAGAAGATTCACTAAGAACAGGGCAATGAGAAAAAAGATAAAGAGAATTGAGCCAGGCTGTGAATGCACTTTGACTTGTTCAATAAAGTCCCATGGTTCCTGTATCACACAGCCTTCCAGGCAGCGGTAACATGAGACATGGCACCTCTCTTCTTCCTTCCCCTCCTTAGGGGCTACTGGTTGACGAAGATAATACCAGCCCAGGCGCTTGCGGCTTATATTAAAATGACCTCCTGTGACATTATACTGCCAGAGACGTCTTGGCACTTTAATAAAGTCTAGATGCCATTTATTTATAATGCATGGGAGAGAAGAAGAGAAAAAAACTGCCATTCTGCATGCAGAGCCAGGCAAGAGTAATCTGGTTGAGTTGAGTCTGGATAAGGTAAATTAATATGCCTACATCATGAGAACATAGCCCCTAGCTATTGCTTATCTGTCTTCCCAAAAAACAAGGTTTGTCAACAGTTGTTGAGCAAACCTTTGTAGGAAGATTGGAATCAGAAATGAACATTTGGCACCAAGTTTAGGGATGTATGGTGAAGGGTGGCACAGTAAGCAAAGCAAAGCATCAAGCATTCATATAGTTATTTTGTAAGTTGTACTTACTAACTGGACCAATGTTATTAGGGATACCTGAAAGAGAGAAAGAGAAACAAACACAAGTTAATTGAGATCTAATTGTCTTTAAAGGCAATAACTTTAACGTTCGTCCTAGTAGTATATTGTATTGTTAGTCTTGCCATCCTCCCTCTCTGTTTATCAAGTTCATACCCCAACGCCCGATTCATTACATGAAATCTTGATGAGCAGTATAACATGAAACTGAAGACTTAATATACAATAGTATCAGGCCAGGGGTAGAAAGTGGCCCTTCCCTCACTTTTTACTCTTTCATTGCTTTACATTACATGTTATTAGCAGGTGCTGTTATCCAAAGCAACATACACTTCAATTCCGCAGGAGCATATAGGGTTAAGCATTTTGCCTGATGACATTAATGGGATTGAATCACTGACCCTTCGATTGATAGATCGGACACTGAGCCACAGTAGCTCTGTTTGGGACATCATCCATCCATCTTTGAACTCTTGCCTTCGTTTTGATCTCAACTACACACCTGTCAAGGTTTGTTCCGGCCAATAGGGACAGAGTGTGAACGGTTTGAGGGTTGTTAATATCTCTTTAGTTTCTTCTGGTTCCCTTCATTATTTCTGCTTTGATTTCCCTGTTGTTGCCTTGAAAGGTCATTGCTGCACTCTTGTACCGCAAAAGATACACACCGGAAAATATTTCAAAATCACTGAAAAAAACTGTTTCAGCACAACCCACAAGCTCACAGACAGACTTTGATATTTTATATATTTTGAAGTTAAAAAGTTGACCCTTTCTCAGCACACTGTCTTTAAAACATGAGCCGCCAAAGACACATGAGACGGAATCTGATGCACACAGAAACGCAACATGTCAAATTATATCATATTTGGGAAATTCTGCGTCTGATTCCTGCCGTAGGAGAGCATGTCTTATCCTGCTGCCTGCCTGTCCATCCCTCCATCAAGCAATCCCTTGTGCCAGACTGTCACTGAGCAGATAATAAAGTCTGTCTCATCCCCATGGTGACCAGATCTCTCCCACACCAGGACGTTGGCTGGCCGTAGATCTGAGTTTAATTGAGATGTCTAGAAGGCAAAAATAGTCCTTGTACGAAGCTAATGATCTAGACCGACATCTTGGTTTTGTCCCTTTTTTCTCTGCGTCTATAAGCTTGAAGGTAACTACTTTATATTTCTTGGTTGCCATTTGTTTTGGGAGGAATTTGCTTTCAGGAGATCAATGCCAGCTCCACTTTTTCTAATCATCTGTTTGGACTTGCCCTCCCTGCCCTCAATAAGGCAGCATGCCCACAAAAACAAACAACCCCCTCACCATGAAAAGAGGAAGCATGCTGGGCAAGAGGAGAAATGCGCCCTCGTCGACTAAAGAGGAAGAAACTAAATAAATAGGCTTTTTTTCCCTCTCTACCTCACTTCTCTCCAATTACTCGCTTACCACCACATCTTCTGCTGAGGAAGCCGGGGAGGTATCTGTGCGGGATGTTTGGGGGGGGCCTAATGTAGCCGTCACAAAATATCTCCAAGTACTCAGAGGGAAGGAGAGTATTTCCTGCGTAGGTGCATGTTTTTGTGTTTGTGGACTTTGATCAAACTCCTGTCATTCAATCACTCTTCCTCTGATCTCTGCCTGCAAGCTGTATTTAGGGAGCCAAATCTGTGGCCTGTCTGAAAGCTGTGAAGTGCAGGAGGCCTCTGCTGACATATGGAGAAGGAGCGAATCAGTGGTCAAACCTCAAGGGGCTGGGCAGATGCTAACCAGGAAGGACAAGGGCAAGGACAATTGCCTAACTCACAAAGCACCGTTTAATTTGTCTGGTATGAGCAGGTATAGTCTCAGTCTTGATATAAAGTACGTCAATCAAGTTCATATTCAAAACCCATTTTACAGGGTCATAGCAATGCTAACGTAACTAGGCTACTGCAATCTCTACGTATGCATATGCCAAGCCAATTATACATCATCAAGTTTCTCACAAAGTCCAACATGTGAGACTGCAAGTTTTCCAGCTCTTTAAGTGAACTATGAAAAGCGAGAAAAACACGGTAACACATTGCTAAAGGAGTCTGATTAAGCTGACTCAGTGCAATAATACACAGGCGCTACCTGCATCGAGTCTGGCAGGGGACCCATTACATTAACCTGAGAGGGATGTAAATATAAAACCAGGGAGCAGCAGAGAGGTGACTTCCATTAGTGTGTGTCACCAAACTGTAAGTTCACAGTTTGAGCACAGAGAACATTCTTCAGATACACAGACACATATTCACACACATTCATCTGCATTGTAAACGTGTTTGCCTTTCCTAAATAAGTGTTGAGCCTACACAGTCAAATCCGGAGTGTTCATTTAACACCAAATGTTCACTGGCAGTGTTAAAATTGACTCTTTAAGTGTTAAATTAAGACTTAAAGGGAGGGGTTCAAGTGTTAAATGATCACTTACGTGTTAAATAAACACTTAAAGAGTTAATTTGAACACTGAGAGCTAGTGAACATATGGTCCTTATTTCAGTGTTGAATTAACACTCCGGATTTTACTGTGTATCACTCCATTGTCAGAAAAGTGATCCGATCCAGACAAAATGACTACTAAATCAGGACCCTTTGTAATTTGGTCTCGTTCAGGGCCAAATAACCTTTTCTTCCAGGTCATGGTTTGGAACACCAGTGGACTGTCAGAGCAATTATTCGCCGCTTTATGAACAACCTGTGGGGTTCGAGCAGATGTCCAGGATCCCATGTCGGGTCATTCGATTAATTTTCAATCACCGTCATTTCCAATCCCCTTCACCTGCCCGGGCCTGGCCATTACGTGGCATGGCTGCAATCTAATTTGGTCCTATCGCACAGGAAGAGCATTAGGAGCTGCTTATGTTGACGGTGTCCTCCATTGATTTTTAGGAGTTATGCAGGGATCATGGTTGCGATCCGCTGGGTGGTGAACGCGACGGGGTGTGTGATTCACTGAACATGATCTGTTCGCATGTGGGCTCGGCAACAGAATACACACACACACGAACAAATGTGGGCATTAAAATACAGAAGAGAGCCTTTGCCATGTGGGCCATCAACTGATTTACAATAAGTCTCACATGAGAGAGCCATGGTTACAATGTGTGTTGGAGGTTCATCCTTCACTGGTGCAGTTCCAGCTATGTTGTCATCCATCCAAGATCACCACTGTAACCGTGCTAATGGATCGTCAGAAACCAATAATAAAATGTACTCTCATGGGTCTATGGGCTCTAAATCTTAGGCATACATCCTATTTCCTCGCTGAACAAGCTAATCTGTCATTTATTCACCCACATGTACAGTAGTTGTTGGCGTGGCAGTGTTTGTGTGTGTGTCATTACATTGTTTCTGTCAGTATCCATTCTGCTTTGACCTTCGATGTGTCTCACCTGTTTGTCTTGGTGCCACCTACTCTGAAAAGGGGCTTAACTGCTACATTTCCCCCGCAGGCAAAGTTGGTAATTACTTTCCCTGGCTGCCATCATTTTATAGCAATCCATCATCAGGTGGAGCTCTTTGGCTATACAGAGCCTAGTGGTGGTGACAGCCATTGCTAACTGGTTAGCAGCGGAAAGGCTGCCAAAACAAAAGCAAACGGCGAGCAACTTGATTGAATTCCTTAGGAGCCAAATTACGGCCAGCCTCACAGGACTCAGGAGTGCCCGGCTAAACGCGCTCTCTTTCAGTGTGTAGATCTGAATTGAAGGTGGCAAGTCTTAAAGAGCCAAGGAGCCAAGTTGGAAGAAACAGTTTAAGATTTCAGGGAAGGAATGAGGTGTACGTAGGTGGTGGTGGTAGCTACGGGGGAAGTATACAAAAAATGGAGTTGGAAGAAACAAATATTTGAAAGAAAGATTACCGTCACAGCTGCACAGAGCCGCGATGTGGAAAAGACAGAGTAAACAAGCTTGGTCTCTGGGGTGGTTGGGGGTGTTGTGGGAGAGAGAGAGAAAGAGAATGTGAGCATGAAACAAAACCCAGAGATGGAGCAAGAATATGCGCAGGCAGAAGAAGGAGATGATGGTGGGGAAGAAGGGCAGAAGAGCAACAGAATGAGGGGATGCAAAACAACGGGCAATGAGGGAGAAAAAAAAGCAAACGGGATAAAAAGGAAATTCAAATAGCTGTGGAAAAAGGAAAGAGGCATAAATGAGTGGGTGATGTTGCACGAGAGGGGGAGAAGATGGGAGTGAAGCTATGTGAGCCCAGAAAATGTGTTTATGTGTGAAGATCTGTAAACACGTGGCATTAAATGAATGTAAGTAAAATACTGTTTTTAGAGCAGTCTGTCCTTTTTACATCTAAGCAACGGAAATGATCAATTTAAAAATGATTACCTTATGTTTTTATCAACCACTGCTTTTGAATTGAATTTATAAATGGAACAAGTGTATTGGCACATACTGGCATGTGTAATGTGATTACACGAGTGCTTTATTAGCGCTTCATTAGTAAAGTAATGTGATTACACCAATGCATTAGTAAGTAATGCTAACCAGGGCTCAATAATCCATTTACGCCTGTAATAAACATTTAAACAACTCATTTTTGGAGTTGGTTTACTATGTAAACCACATAATTTATGCTCAACAATCACGTCTCAGAGGCTCCTATACAGTAAACATTGTGTGTCTTCATTCACAAAATAATGAGATTTATTCTTCAATGCGATGTAGAACATTGTTAGTTCCTTTGGGATTTGGATTTATCATTGAAATATGTATAGAAACCTACTTTCTTTACACAAGAGGAAGGTTTAATCAGGTCTATATTTGTGTATGTGTGTTTGGTCACATTTCTATGATCAGCATCTCCCAGGAGGACTGGCAAAATAACAATGTAGCATCTGATGTCCCTGCATTAAGAACACTAGTTAGAGAACAACAGCATTAAAATTGAATTTGTTGTTTTAATAATAACTGTCCTTGTCCAGATATGACAAGCCTTCTTTTCATTTTCACCTGGGACCGAGAAGTGCCCGGTTTTATTCAGATGGTGAAAGT